GCATGAGACACAGATAAATTGTACCTGTTCTTCATTACAGAGAAAAACATAAACCTCTGTATAGTTGTTGGAAAGTGACTTAAATAAAGTAACAGATATTTTGTTTTTTCTTGAATTTATCCAGCAGCAAGTTAGCTACTTTTTTAAGAATTCAAAAATGTGAATTAAAACTATGTGCTAAATGACTTGAAGAAAAGTAATAAAGGCACAAGACTCTGGAACCAGACTGTCTGGGTTTGAATCGTCATTCTGTGACTCAGTAGTTATGTGACTTTGGGCAAATTGACATTTTCATTCCTTAGATTTCTCAGTTGCAAAAAAAAGTAATGACCCTTCTTGGGCTGTTTATATGGTAAAGGATTTCACATATGTAATGTGCGTTAGTCTGCTTTCCATTACCATAACAAAACAATTAACTTATAAAGATGCAAGCTTTATTTTGGCTTACACTTTTGGAGGTCTCAGTTCATTGTTTTAGGTCTGTGGTGAGGCAGTACATGCCACAGTAAACTAGCTATGTCATGAGCCAGGGAGCAAAAGTGAGGAAGAAGAATGGTCCAGGATTCAATCACCCCCCCTCAAGGGCATGGTTCCGATGACCTAAGGACTTCCCATAATGCCCATCCCCTAAAGACTCCACCACCTCCCAACTGCACCACCTTGTTGACCAAGCCTTTAACACAAATCCCTGGGTACATTCAAAATCCAAACTTCAGCAGTTAGCTCTTATTGAAATAAAATTTTAGAAGTGGCAAATATGATATAGAAAAGACTTTTAGAATAACCAAGGAAAAGCACCTTCTTCTAATCTCTAAAAAGGAAAACATTGTCATAAGCATAATACTTTAAATGATTGCATTAAGTAACAATAAAGTATCTTTAGTTGTACCTTTGTGTATCACTTTTTATAAACAATGAAGATAAGTGAAAATTTTGACTATCAGCTAATGCTAAAGAAACATTTGCTTGAGAGAAAGCATTGCTTAGTGTACTTGAGGTAAACGCTGGATCATCCTAAGAGCACAGAAGCAGCACTCAAGTTTATTCCTGTGAATACTTAGGGTGTTGCACTCACTGAAGCTTTTTGGACTGCCTCAAGCATTGTTAATGAATCAAAAATAAATTACTTTAAAAATAAAGATCGGTTAGTAATCTGGGCTTCAGTTTGACAAGTTAGAAGAGTTGTCTTTCAAACACTTCTTGGATTATATTCTTTTAAAACATTATCAGTAAGTAAAGTTGTTGTACTTAGCGATTAAGCTCAAGCAGTTTAAACACAGGCATTCATAATTTAAGAGGCCATTCATTAGGTCTTTGCCTTAATGCTTCCATTTAAGAAATTTGTAACTGTCACCTTGATAGAGTTAAAAAAAATCCAAGTTGAAACAGACCATTTACTCACCCCTCACAGTTTTATGATTCCTAAAACATTGTAGGCATGTATTTGTCTCATTACTCATGCTTAGGTAGGGACAGACCTGTGGCTGCAGAGGTAGTTGCTATCTAAGAAGTATCTTGTGTGTATCTGACTTTCTGATGGAAAAGGTTGTTTTTACAGTACTTTCTGCTTTCTTTTAATTAACAGGGATAAAATATGATGTAATTGCTTCAGCAAAAATGTAAAAATTCTCAATTATTGATCATAGTAAAGCTAGGATCTTTGATAGTAAAGTTACTATTTTTATGTCATTGGTAATATATGTCATTAGAGTGCTAATTATCTTTCTTTTTCCTTATATTATTGGGAAGGAAATGTATTTTTATAGTATGCACAAAAGTAATTCATAATCTATTAATATTTACTAAGTGTTTAAACAAAATGCTAGAAACTGCTATGTCTAATTTATAAAAATCATTTCTATTTCCTTCTTAAGTTGCTGAATCAGCAAAATGGAAATTTGATAGGTGTATTTTTTCAAGACAGTTCTTATGACTTTGGGATAAACTAATATAATATGTACAATGGGAAGATTTTGCTGGTAATGATTAAAGTTTATAGTTTGAATGTAAGGCTGTGTTTTATTGACTTTGTGCTGAAGTGTCAACAACTGAAGAAAGCTTTTCTTTCATGATTAATAAACTCTGAAAGTAGACTTGCTATACCTTACATAAAAGTAACATTGGGATTCTTGAGAGAAAATGGTATGCAACCTGAAAAATCATTTATTATTATTTTCTGTGAAAACTTGCACATATTTGAATATTCTCAAGAGAAGCCCGGCAGTCTTCAGAAATTTTAAATTTTAAATAAGCTATCAGTATATAAACATTTTCGCTTAGTTTTTTTAGACTCCTTATGTAATGGTGGCATTGAATATTAAGTCCAGGTGAATTAAGAAACTGCCTGAGTGTAATACTGATGTTTTGGATTATATCACATTTTTATAAATTATCATTTTTTTCTGATGCCCTCATTTTCTCTTTCAGCATGAACTTTTACTAATTCACACACAACCTAATAGCATAAACTAATCTGTTTTAATTATTTCTTTCTTGTGAAGGTTTCTATTCCAGTTTAGTTTCACAATTTAGTTTCAGATCTCCAGAGTTTACAGATATGTAACAATAACTTTTAATACAAGGCAGACAACAACAACCAAAGAAACAAATGATTGTATTATTTAGAGGAGAAAGAAAGAAAATGAAGACTATGAGATCCTTCATTCTATGTGGACCAGGCATGAGGGGCATGATGACTGGTTGCAGGCCGCGGGTCATGTTTAGGAACCATTAAGTGAGAGACCTCCCCTTGGATGGCACACTGACCCTGATGCTACCTTTTTACCTCCACTTATTTATGACTATTATGCTATAGATACTCTTGACTCTACTCAGATTTCTATGTTCTAAAAAGCACATCAAGTATGAATTTTGATAATTTTACTATTTTTAACAGCAGAAAACCTAGCAGACTTCTTAGTGCAGTACCTAATGCTATTGACTCTTCTTTAGGTATACTGGTGAGTAATGGTGATCCCTTTCTGGAAAGTCTGTTCTCTTCTCTATAATATGAATTTCATTCCTATTCTAGTATAGGTTGTGTTTTCCTGACACCCTTTTACGCTCTTTGACACTTCCACCAAGATGAATATGGATTTGATTCCTTTGTATTGCCTCATCACTATTCCATGGAGCAAAAGATTCAGTCACTTTTTCATTATGTCAAAATTATTCCCTGAAGAGTTTTTCTTTCCTTTGTTTATGTTTCTACCTGGTTGTTCTGTTTCAGTACATAGAATCATATGTTTTTTTACTTTTTCTAGCAATAAAAAATATAACACCAAAATATATTAGATTATGGGTATTTCTCAATTGTGTAAGCCTTTTCTGTAAGTTGGGTGATTAATTTACCTTTGTATCAATTCTATAAATATAATATTTAGGTATATATCAAATAACAGAGAATGCTGTTCATAATATGAGTTTGTAGCTTTGTGCTATGCATCCCAATAGATCTCTGCATTTAACAGGGCTGACTGTCATTTATTTTCTCCTCTGATAGATTGTAAGCTTCATGATAGTAAATATAGCAGTTTTGATTATTCAAAGTAAAGCTGTGTAAATCAATCTGATTTTTAAATGTGCAACTTAATAATCATTCTGTAGTTCTTAAGAGTGGCAACAATTATCATAAAAGGAACAAGGGCATTTTATGGTGGATCATTGACTGGTGAATAATCTACTTACTAGATTCTTAATAATCTACATACTAGATTTTTGCAATGAATCTAGTAAGTAGATTATTCTTAGTAATTTGTAATTGAGTTTTGTTTTCTCTTCACAGCAGTGCTGTCTAAGACCTTTTGTGCTGAAAGAAGTGTTCTAGATCTGTGCTGTGCCCGCTACCCATGGGTGACTGCTGAGCACATCCAGTGTGGCTAGTGTGACTGAATTCATGAGAATTGAATCTTTTATTTTATTCAATCACAATGAATTTGCCCTAATATCTACATGTGACAAGTGGTGAATTTACTTGACAGTGCAGGTCCATAGTGCATTGACTTTTATCAAAAAGTGGCAACAGTTGAGTTACACAGATTGTTAGTCTCATTTTATTCATACAGGAGCATATTCTCAGAATTTTATTTACAGATACTTATAATAAAAGCATTGTGTCTGTCTTAAAATCAAATTATACTTAATATTTCAAAGTTCTCTTAGAAAGTGAATAGGCTTACTTTTTTATGGCAACATAAAGATTGCTACATTATTGTAATGGGTGAATTGTCATTATAATTAATCTCTGTTTTCATTTTGATCATAAAGTAGTTGCTTATTTTATGTGCTGAGTGAACAAGGGAGCTTTAGGCTGATGAGGGGAGCAGCAGGTGGTAGGGATCAGCCAAGGAGGGATGGCTTTATGCCATCACCCAAGAAAAACTGGAACAAGTGGAATTCATAGTTGTTGTGGAGTAGGAAAAGCTGGTACAGCTACTGTAAGACACTTGCAGAGATAGGGTTGTTTAGCACAGAGGCTAAATGAAAGCAGATGCCACATGGGCTTATCCTAGAATCTATCCAACCGGAATTATATTTGCAACCATGAAGAGAAGGTGATTGCAAATACTTTTCATTAACTTAAAAATAAGCTGATGATCATAAAATTAATGAAAACGACAAAAATCAGGCGTGATTGTTATGGTCAGAATGTTTTCTAATCAGGATAAAAATATAGTTATTGGGCTTTTTCAACAATATGTGCTATTTTGGTCCTCATGATTCAATCTAATGTTGTCAAATCTTTGTTTTCAGGGGATTCACTCTCTGCTGAGGGAGTAAAATTGAACAGTTTTAAGAGTCCTAGGGACCTTGCTTAAACACTTTCTAAAACCCTTTGATACAGGCCTATTTCCACCGATCCGATATCCAGTTGTTATGCACAAGGATCTGCTTGCTGGTTCTGTGACTTAGACTCTGTGACTGCACATGTCTCCTTACAGAGACCGGTGCTCTCTGACTGGTCTTCTTTTGATGCCCTGAAAACCTTTATCTCTGTCTAGGGTGAGCCCATCACTTTCTGTGAGAACAGTTTTGTAAAGCACCGCTCAAGTGTGATGAAGCATTTCTTGGAAACTGCAGTTAACCTTCAACTTTTTAAGCAGGTAAGATTAAGAACATTTTTATTCTATAACAGAATGTCGCTGTTGTTACACATTTTTATCACTCCGATATTATATTCAAATCCTGAGTAAAATCATATCTAGAATTTTAGGAAAATTTTCTTTCTATTATCAACTCTTTTGTTACATAAACAAAAAAGTATTAGTTATACTTAAATATTATATAATAACTTTCTATAAAATTTCCTTGCAAAAAGTTGCTTTATCACTTCATAGGTACATGTTCTTGAGTATATGATTCTTTTTCCTTTAAAATAGAAATAGTGCCACCAATCCCAAAGGCTGTGAATGGGAAGTAATATATGTATATACCCTATATACATATTATATTGTATGCATTGTATGTGCATATACATCTATTTGTACATGTACATATACAGCATAGTGAGATACTTGGTAGGTGCTCAGTAGATTTTACTGTATACCTAATTCTTAATTAACAAAACACAAATCCTTGGGGATTTTTTAAAAAAATATATAACTGTCAAAAATCCTGAATGTTAATGGTCATTGAAAGCAGAACCCATTATATAGACAACTTAAATAGTTTTACGGGAAGAAATATACTGTCTCCTAGAACTTACTACTATTTTGTGACTCCAACGTACGTGATACTTGAAAATAGCCCCAAAAAAGATGTAAAGGATTTTTGTTAAAAGATTGTTACAATCTTCTAAAAGAATAGTCAGATGATTAAAAAAAGTTATCTTTCATAAATGCCACAATATACCTCCACCCAGCACAACAACAACAACAAAAATTTATCAATACAGATGAATCCTAAAGGTACTACTGCTGTGTCTGAAAGATTATAAAATCATTAGTAGGTACAGCTGACAACTATACATGACATGATTTGGGATCCATTATGTGTCCAAAACAACTCAAGTTCTTTCTTAACTTAGTCATGTTTATGTTTCCAAATTGATAGAACGTGGACTCAAGAGAGCAGTGTATAGTTTAAATGAAATAATTAAAGCAAACTTTTATTTCTGTTAATATGGCAGGGTAAGGCCTAGAAATAACCTATTTACTGAAACAGTTTCAAATGCAGGATTACAGAATACCTCGTAGTGAGTCCAGTGCTCACTTTCCTATAATCAGAGACCCTACTCCCATTAATCTGAAGACTGAGGGCAAAAGTAAACAAGGAATAAAGGGATGTCTTCCCTCAAACTCTTTCCAAGGAAACTAAAATTCCAAAGAGGAATTTCAGTTTTAAATGTCATTAAACAAACAGGGAAACAAATCATGAATGAGAAGGAGCAGAAACAGAAAGAAACTGACTAGCAAAGACTTTAAATATTGGAACTATCAGAAATAGAACATAAGATAACCATATGTAAGGTGTTCAAAGAACAAAAAGCAGCTTTAAAAATATTCATGAACAACTTTATAGAATGCAAAGCCAGTTGTAAGACTGTAACAAACAAACCTCTGTTAAAGAAGTATGAAGAAATTGAATGTAAAGATAATGGATGGGTTTAGCTGCAGATTAGTTTGAAGTGAAGAGAGAGTTTCTGAGTTGATGGTGTATCTGAAATAGAAATGATCCAGAATACAGTACAGAAAGATCAAGAACTAGGAAATAAAGGCAGGAGATTAATAGACATGGAGAGCCTAGAGTGAGAATATCCACAGTCAGTTCTAAGCGTGAGGACAGCAGAGACATCAAAAGGGTAGTACCAGAAATAATGAGATATGTATTTTAGGAATTTAAGAAGTCCAATATATCCAAAATGAATAAAGGAAAAAGAAATATGTGCCCCCACGCAATATAGTCAGCTATAAAACATTAAAGAAAGAGGGAATTTTTGTAAATGAATGGTTATAGTCATATAGTAATAAAGCACTGCTCATCAGGAAATGAATGAACTATAGTAAAACTGACAGTGAGAGAAAGAAGAGAAAGAAGTGTCATTGACTGATATATCTGATGAGTCCTCTTATGTAATGTTCAAATGAAAGAAAAGCTAAGTAATATAATTGAGTAAATATATTGATGTGATAAAAACCATGAAGAAAGGCAAAGAGACAAATTGAAGGGATGGTGGGCTTTTCTATAGAGAAGGAGGCACACAGAGAACTTTCAAAGACAGGAGAGTGTTCTCCTAGCTTATTATTTTTGTATTTAAACTATGTAACTTTTCTTCAAAAGTTTTGACATGATGTATAAGTGATAGTTGTACGTACGCACATATTCACATTTGTATGTACATGCACACTAAGGAGTGATTTTGTCATGCTGACTAGCACGTCTGTCACCTAACATAATTTTTTTGTGATGAGAATGTGTACAGTTTACTCTTGAGTCACCCCTCCACCCCCCTCTTTTAGCAATCCTAAAATAAACACTACATTGCTATTATAAACTGTTGTCACCAAGCTGTGCAGTAGATCGCAAAATTACTGAATCTTGGTATCCTGGTCCACATTTCTCCATCCCTAGTCCATAGAATAGCAGTTCCTTTGACAAAGCAACAGCTACCAACTGGGCTTGCTTTATCATTATTAAACTATTAATTATTTAAACTGTTGCTATTTAAATTAAGTATTGTATGGAAACATTTTTAAATGTTTCTAGATTAGGCACTAATAGGCTGTGTTCTCATTGATAGTTGACTTAATCTCTGTAGGCCTCAGTTTCTGCATTTGTAACACAAATTAGACTGAAAGATCACTAAGCTTGTGATACCTCTTGGCTCTGACATTCCATGATACTGTGAAATAAACATATAGCTTAGACAGATGATAGTACGTTCCATTTGGATGAATTCCTCTTTAGATAATGGGTTTGGAAGGAATCCCAGAAATAGTTCTTAAATCCACAACTCTGACATCACCATCTTTCTATAACTAGAGGCTTTGTAAGGATTTAAGCCATTGCTTTTAGTTCAATTGCCTTTATTTTATGCTACACTAACAAAATAAAGGAAATTATTTTCTCATGTACATTGTTTACAATTAAGTCTACTGGAAGTAAATTTTTCTCTTGTCATATCACTGTACATTTCCCGTGGCTAACACCATGACTGAGTTTAGCGTGTCAATCCCAGAGGCTAAGCTTGAACTATAAACTTAAGAGGTCTCCATGAATATAGGCCGTCTTAGGTGCCAACCTAGATTACTGGTAGGAAATCCATGTAATTGTAAAGGAACCCAAATTTATTCAAGTAGATGCTTTTATCAACATAATTCTACTTATGCAAATACTAACTCCATTGGGGAAGAAAATGATGGGAAGATTCAAATTGGAAAAATCTTTTTTTAGCATTCCTCTAAAACCTTTCCATTGAAGGATATATAAACATATATTTCTCAGATTTCTCCGTAGAACCAGTGCCTCTTGTGGCAGAAGAGGACATGTGTTTTTAAAAAGTATGGGGAGGTGCCCAAGGGCTCCACAAACTTATTTTTAGGATGCCTTCTGCAGTTTTTCAGAACATCTGTACACATTGTGTATTCTATACCATAGTACAGCAGTGTTTATCTTAAAGTGAAAACATTTTTTAAAATTACAGATAAATTTACCCTTCTCTCACATTCATCTTCAAGGAAAGTCAAGAATTCAGTTAAATACACCATATTAATACTTTGGCTTGAGTATACACAAAACCAAAAGTAATGTGAAGCACACACCTGTGTGTTACTAGAGGCGTGCCTGTCCACTGTGAGGAATATTGCTCAAGATCTATAAGACCTGGGTTGGTCCTGCTTCTGCCTCTTTCCTGGAGAATTGTGCTATGTAAGGTACTTGGCCTCTTTCTGGGCTTCAAATCTTTGCCCATTTTCCTAGACTAATGCAATGCCCAGTCATGCTGAGTACCCCTTTGAACGTATCTTTTATAGCATCAGGCTTTGCATATGCTGTGCTGTGCCACCAGTGTTGGATTTCTGTTACTCACTCACAGCCCGTTCAATAGAGCTTTGTTCACGCCTGAGTTATCTGTTCACCTCTGTAAGGCCCTCCCGGCTACACTCCGCCTCACTAAGTCTGCGCTCTTTTCTCTGTGCCTGTGTTCATATAACAATAATTGTATTGATTTGTGTCAGGCTCTGTCACTGCAAGCATTTGAGAGTCAGCTTCTTTCATAGAGTTGATAGTTCTAGGGAAGGGAATGGGCTAACAAACAGAAAGTAAGAAAAATATCAGTAAGTGAAAAAAAATCAGAGCAAATGAGATATTGATTGGCTATCCAACTTAGACTTCAGAAGAGCTATTACTGAAAAGTGATATTTAAACTAAGTTAAAGAAGGAATTTATTTTGAGATATGAGAGGGAGAACATAGACCATAAGGAGAGAAAGAGGTTAGCATTTCCTAGAATTGGAATTAAATCAACTGTGGACAAAGGCGAGAGTTGTTTACATCTGAAGGGTATAAAAGGCACAAATCCTATTGGGCTTGAAAGATTTTTCTAAGATTGAGATCATAACCATATATAATTAAAATTTTTACATGATCCTTTTTGCATAGGATCTTGTCAATGTTGAGTACTAAGTAAATCTTAGGAAAATTTCTCTGTAACGTTTTTATTATTACATATAAAAAGTGATTTTGAATACTAAAATATTTACATACTATAGCAATAACAACCATAGGAATAAATAATTACTGTGAAATTAGGGAGATAGATTTCTGTTTTGTTAAGATAAGCTTTATTATGACCTAAGGAAAACATTAAATAATATGTAAATAATTGTATCAAAGTAAATATCCTCCAGTCTCTCCACCTCTAATGATATCACCATTCCATTTTATAAACATGCCACTGATCCCATCAGATTTTCATTATGCAAGGGGCATACTTTTGTTGATATAATTAGAAAAATCTTATGCCACGCATAAGTGAAAGTACTGGACCACTTTTCATTTTTTTGAGAACCGCTACCATTTTCCATAAAAATTGAACAAATTTACCCCATCAACAGTGAGCAAGCATTCCCTCTGCTCCACATCCCGACTGCTATTTGTTAGTTCTT